TTGCCCAGAGTTCCCCCATTGGGGGGAGATGGGCGGTTGAAAAATTTAATAAATAAATAAACAAACTTGTGCTAATTACAGTCTAGAATGGTTGTGCATGCTTGAAAATGCTTTGAACCTTGTGCAAGTATGAGTATGGCACCTCTCTGGTATTCATTAAAGCAGCCCAACTTTTATCAGGTTTCCCCTTGTGCCTGACAATAAGATGCTGCTGCTTTAAGGAGTCTACCAATGTGACTCTTAAAGCTAGCACCATCTTTTTTTAAGATTCTCACAGAAGAAGTCAGGCTGCTTAAACGAATTGCAGAGAGAGGCTGTGCTTGTGTGAGGTCACAAAGAAATTTTAAATGTACACTGCCCTATTAAAATCAGTTGGCCTATGCCACCTCCCACAGAATAAAGCCCAGGTGTACCACTGTTATATCATTGGCATATTGTATGTTGGTAGAGATTTTAAGGATGGAGTGGTGGGGGCAGAGGATGTGGGAATCGTCTGAAGATGACCAAAGCTTATGCTTGAATTAAAGTCACTGTGTTCCCGTTTCAGTTAATGAACTCACTAGTCTGGAAAGGCCTGGGCCAGCTTGAAGCCTACATTGGTGCAGAGGAAGGAGTGGCTCTCCAGATGGACAACAGCATGTTCTGGGATTCACTGAGCAGTGGTTTACACTGGACCGTGGAAGGCGTACCTGAAAAGAGAAGGTCGAGCAAATTTTGGCTGATTCCAGCACCATCCGGAAGGGTTATGTTGAAAAACTGGATAGGTTTGTTTCTTGCTGCAGTGGATGTATATTCAGAGCAGAAAATCTTCCCCATCCAACCTGTTCAGTACTCAAAAAAACAATCCCTGAGGTTTGAAGTGTTTTTCAGGAACAATATGGTGGCCTTCCGGGCCTACAATGGTCTCTTTCTGGCCAGAACATTTAGAGGATTCAATACACTGGAAGCAGCCAAGTTCTTTCCTGATGAGACCTGTTGTTTCCTACCCCAGATTGGAGATACTGATCTCCCAGTTTTTGAAATCCTAAGCGTTGTCCCAAATGATCTCTCCCAGATCCATTGCCACCAGTATTTTGTGGATAAACAGGTCTTCTACAACCCAAGAGAGATTCCAACCCCATACACTTTTGGCCTCACTTGGGTCACCAACTCCATTGACAGAGTGACTTGGAACCATCTCTGGGGGCTGGGCTTGCCTTCTTCCTGCAGTTTCAAAATTGAGGATGCAACACCCATTGTGAGGTACACAGAGAACAATGAACAGAACTTTTCTCTGGTGAGGCCAATTGACAAGTTCATAATCAAAAGGGTGGAGGTACCCCCCAAGACCAAAGCAGTAGCAACCCTTTGGGTTGATATACAGCATAATGTGGTTCTACCATTTGTGGCCACGGTCCAAAAAGTGAAAAATGGTGGGTTCCCAGAACGATTTTATGAAAGGGGAGCATGGAGAGGAATGGTCTATAAAAATCTTCGAATAGAAGTTACAATGGAGCCTATTTGTCAGGTTTGCACGATCATGTGAAGCTCTGGAAAGTGCTAGCAGCCTTCCATAATAACTGGGAGCAGCCCACTTCCAAAGAAATGTGGCTACTTGGGTTTTATAATGTCTGGGTCAGTTTTCTTGAAGGATGAGATTACTGCGAGGACTTGGCCCCACCTGTTTTTTTAGTAGAAGGCCTTCTTCCTCACTGGTAACTCTTTTTAATCTCTTGCACTAGGTGTACAATAAAGATATTTTCCTTTTTATGGAAAGAAGGAGCCACAGTTACTCACTTCACAGCATAGGCACAATAATATGAAATTTGTCAAGCTGCTTTGGGACAAAAGGTGTCTGGATTGTTATTTATGCACAGAGATTACAGGAAATGGAGGGGGCTTTTCATGAGAGTCTTAAGGGAAGAATCAGCACCATATTCTTGGTTCATTTCAGTATTAGACAGCTGGGGATACAATTTGAAGTTCAAAGTTGCCAATCCACCTCACGCTTTTGAATCCTGTAGGATTTTGAATTTAATCCTTGGCCTTTTATTGGACCATATACAGTTCATTGCTTATTTATGCCAGTCAGAAAATTGTTTTTCATATATACTGGAATCATTTGAAAAAGGTAAATTAAGTCTTGGTAAAATATTCTTTTTTAACAGCTTCAATTCTTCCGAGCAAAGGCAAGTTTAGTTTTTTTAATCTGGAGATATCAGTCTGGTAAATAATTATTTTAAAATCTCTAAATTACTTTTTGTCAAATACATTCCTAAATATTTGATCTTTTTTATCGTGATGTTGAATCCCATTATTAGATGCAGTTATTGCTTTTTTCTCTCTGCTAAATTCCATGTCAATGTTTGGAACTTGTTTTTATTAAAGCAATATTCTGACATAAGATCATTCTGTATATATTCCATTAGCAGTACTAAGAGGTTTTGGGGATGAATATGTATACCACTGTAAGCATATAATTTCAATTTATATTCTTGAGTTGTGAGTTTAACTCCTGCCATTTTATTTTCTTGACTTATTTTCTTTGCTAATGGTTCTAATGCCAGCAAAAATAATGAAGGGGTAATGGGGGGGGGGGGGGGGGGG